AAGCAAGCGAAGTGCTGTTGCTCTGCTGCAGTCAGCCAGCCAGCACGCCAGCCATATTTGTTGGCGGCTCATGTGTTTTCAAGTGTTGTTGCACGGCATTGCAAAAATGCAAAAACAAAAGTATGTGTGTAAACTTGAAAGGTATCAAAAGATATGCAATGCAAAAAAAAATAAAAATAAAAACAAAAATTAATACAAAACACAACAACACAGGGGTATTAAAATGTCAGCAAACACAACACTAAACTTGCAAAAGTAAAACACGAACGCAACGCTGCTGCTTGCAATAGTGTGAGTGCGCAATTTTAATGGCTGCGCTTCGATTTTTTGCACGACATAACTGAATAGGTCTGCAGAACTAAGTATGCCATGCTTTTATTTGTGTTTTTTTTTTAATTTTTAATTTTTTTTTTTTGATTTTGCATATTGCCTGTTACACATACAACATGCTTTATTTTTAGGGGTAAGAGTTGCCGCCAAATGCCTTGTGCGAAAACATTGAAATATAACGGCGGCAAATTGAAAGTGAAGCGTAATACATATGCTGCTTGTAGTTTGGCTTTTTGCATTTAATTGAAGTGCCTATCCTCTTGCAATTGTGCACAGCCGCTTTGCCAACCCGCTCGTCCGCAAACACTTGCATACACACGTTTGTGTTTGCCAGCTCATCCGCCACACATTATTGCCAATTGTACTTGTATGTTAATTTGCAATTTGTGGCGCATGGTGCGCGTAGCGGCCGCCACCGCAGTAGGGCACTTTTGTGTTGCACATGTATGTTAGCTATGTACATAAGTATGTATAAAAATTTCGTAGGCGTTACTTTGGCACTCAACGCACTTGATATTTTTCATGCACTCACAAGAATTCTGCATTTATTTTTTTTTAGATGGGCGCCATGTCACATATTTGTCATAATTGAATTTGTATATGAGCACTTGTGCTACATTAATGGCTGCAGCAGGCGAGGTAATTTAGAGTGTGAGGTGTAATTAAAAAATAAACAATAATGTGTAATAAATATAAAAAATAAAATAAAATATGAAATAAATATAAAAATAAAATAAAATATGAAATAAATATAAAAATAAAATATAATAAAAAATAAATTTAAAAAAAAATAAATTAATTAATTAAAATAAAATAAATTTAATAAAAAAATAATAATTAATTAATAATTCAAAAAAATAAAATAAAAATTTAATTAAAAAAATATGTAAAATATATATACAATATTTTTTTAACATCGAGCAATCTGTTATATTTAAATACTTCTAAAGGCTAAAAATCTTATCAGGCGCGAATCGCCGCAGTTGTAAGGAGTACGAAGAGGTAAAAAATATATAAAAAAATAATAAAAAAAAAAATTTATGAAATAATTTTGTAAATAAAAAAATTACAAATAAAAAAATTAAATTAGGAAATTAATTAATAATTTAAAAAATTAAATAAATATTTATATAATAGATAAAAAAAAAATAAATTAAAATAAAAAATTAAAAAAAATAAATAAAATAATAATAAAAAAAAATTAAATTAAAATAATATTAAAAAAATTTATAGAATAATTTTTTAAGACTGGTAAAAAAATGTCCGTAAAAATTTAACACCTATGTACATATGTATATATAAATGCTAAAAATCTTGTGGAACACGATTTGCCGAAAGTGTATGTAGTAAGGCGAGGTGGTAACAGCCATGTGCCCACTACTCCATTATTCCAATTTTGCAAAGGCTGAGGTTGAAACTGTTCGGCAGTCATATTTTCGGCGAACAAGGGAAAATAGCCGAACTTAATATTAGCCACCTCAACAGATTTGTGGCAGCCACAAACAACCCTCTTAAAACGACAAATAGAGAGTCTCAGGGATAAATACTTAGGAAGTCTTGGCAGTTCAAGTAGGATCCTTTGGCTTTAGTCGCAAGGAACAGCCTTTTAATCTAATCTAACTTAATCTAAGTATCTACAAATTATATACTCGTATGTATGTACTATATATCAGCTATTTTGAAAGAAGACAACTTTGAAATTGTTAAGAAATGATAATATGTTCGTGATAAAATTTCAACTTAAACCAGATTCGGTATTTTACTTAAGGAGGCAATTGTGAACTAAATGCTGTAGCTTTATAGATCTGATAATTAATTATAAACGATACAATGATGAGTTATACGAGCTTTATTGTGAAAATGTAACGAGGAATTTAAAAAAATTTTAGGGTTGTAAAACCATTCTGTATTTGGTGAAAAAAGAAATTTTTCGCTGCCCAATCGGCTGTATGTAGTGTCATAAAGTTCGGATCAGTCAACACGGTACGGTTAGATTTGTTTTCGAAATTTCGCATTTCAAACCGGGCAACGATGCTACTCGGAAATTATCGCAAGTATCTACTAGAATTTTTAACTGTAGCTCCAAAGTGACATTATATAGTAAAATACGTAAGGTGGGTCTTTATTTTTATAAGTTTTTTTTTTAGTGATAATTTTTCTGCTAATTTTTCGGTCAAAACTTTGACCTTTTTTACAAATTCGCATTTGACGAAAAATTACGAAAAATTATTTTTTATTATTATTTTACTTTCCAATCTTCCGTAAAGTAGCCCATTTTATATAATACTTTGTTTTATGTAGTATGAGTCACAGAACGTTGAGGCGCTTTTGATAACCGCGATTCTCAAGATCGAATCCCTAGATACCACTTTGTATCAAAATGTCGCTAAAAAAATGTTTATACACTAAAAATATGTTTAATAAAGGCTAAAAAAGAGAAATTCGTTACATTTGAGCTGTTGGGATGTTTTGGGCATTTTTAAGGGCACTAGACTGTCCTTAACTTTTGAAACATTAAAACAACCAACTTTTTTTTAACTGTACGAATGTTCCAATGCTCCAATATAACATCAATTTAAAAAAAATTTTGGAAAAAAGCTTGGAATTTCAACGTCGACTTCCATAACCTCCAAATATTAGCGGCTACAGTTATTTTAAAATATCAAACCGATTTAAGGTTAGGAAATTCTTGCCACCGTAGTCAATTTTTTTTTGGGAACATGACATTAATAGTACAATCGGAAAAAATCTTTCTTGGAAGAAACTTGTTTAGAACTAAAAGCAATTATATTCTAAAAGTGCATACTTATAAGCTAACCTATCATTTTATACCGTTAGCCATTAGCTTTGCGTTCGCCATTTTAAAAAGTATTCGAAAGGATATGGCGTTGTCGAATCATGACAAATTATAAAGTAATTACAAAATGTACTTTCAAATATAAAAATTCCAAGTACTGCACACTTTTAATTATCCTTCAAAGCAGCCTTTCAATTTTAAAAGCAGCAAACGTCAGGCAAGTGCCTCTCAAAAGAGACTACCGAAAAAAAAAATCGCTTCAGCAGGGGTATTGCATTTGTCAATATGGCACTTGAAAAGTTAGAATGTGTCGAAACTCCTTACGAGTTTTGCATTGCGTTTGACACATGTCAATTGTTTTGAAGCGCAGTCATATTAATGATGATGAGATGATGGCTGAGTTGTGGATTTGTACATAATTAAATTTATAAGTGGTAATTGTTGATTGTGATGTAGCTATGTACAGTACTTATGCAGTAATTTTTTTAGACTTATATAATGTGCAAAGGAGTGCATTTTTTGCATTTCGCATTTGTAGTAATTTATTAGTGCAAAATTATTGCTACAGTTATTGCATGTTTAAGTAATAATAATGTATTATATGTAGTAATTTTTTTTAATTTGTCTAATTAATTTGCACTGTTTGCATTTCGCAATTGGTTAGTGCAAAATGTAGTTATAGGTATTCCAATAGCTTTAAAAAGAAATTCACTTTTTTAGTATTCATAAAATTTACATGCGCTTTTCGCATTTCACATTTTTGCAAAAACGAAAATATTAGCTACATTTGTTGCGTATTTAAATAAAAATAATTTAATTTTTGCAGTATTTTTTTATTACTCAATATTTATAATCTTTATACATACATATATGAATGAATATGAAATTTTGCATATTTGCATTTCGCATAAGTGCAAATAGTTTAGGGAAAAACTTTAACAACCGTTTTCGCGATATTGTTAAACAAATTTAAAATGTGAAAAAATTGCAATTTTGCAATTTATATTTGTGCAAATTGGTTAGCCAAAATTTTTAGCTACAGGTTATGCCTATTTAAATAATAAATAATATATTTTATGCAATAATATTTTCAAATTTTAATATTAATAATATGCACAAAAAAGTGCAATGTTTGCATTTCGTATTTTTACAAATTGTATGGTGAGAAATTTTACGTGCAGTTATTTCAGTATTTTTTTATATATTATTTTTAAGATTTTTATAATATACAAAAAGTACAATTTCGCATTTGTGCAAATATTTAGTTTAGGGGAAAAAATATAGCAACAGTTATTGCAATATTTAAAAAAAAATTTTTAGAGATTTATAAAATGTGCAAAAATTTGCATTTTGCATTTGTGCAAATTAGCTTATTTAATTAAAAATAATTTACAACTAAATGAATTGTCGTTTTTGCAATGCATTGCAGAAAAAGCAAATTTTAATTTAAATAAATATTTAGAAAAATATATAAACAGTTTCTTGCGGCAACTATTGCAGCACTTATTCAACTTGCCAGCAGTGTTGCTTTTATAGTCAGCCAATAATAACAAGAGAAAAATCCATGACTATCTAATGATACGCTGCAATCAGTACGTACATATATGTACATGTACGTGAGTTAGCAAAAATCCAATAAAGCACTTTGGTGTATATAATAAAATTTCCTCGTCAATTCAGTATTGATTGCTGCTGTGCACTACAGTAAATGTCAAACAGCTTTCAGCTGGCTAGTCCATAAACTAAACAACGGCACTAACTCTTCGTGTCGGTGCAAACATATCAATCACAATAAATAAAATAGCAATAAAGTGAGTTAGAGCAAAAAAGAAAACACAAAATATATGTGCTCGTATAACAACAACACACTCACCTGTATGCGATCCTCAGCCAGGCCTGTCTTCATCGAGAGCAGCTCACGTGCGCTCACATCCGGATAGTGTGCCTCCTTGAAAGCCTTCTCCAGCTCCTCCAATTGATTGCTCGTAAATATTGTACGGCCATGTCGTCGTTTATTCTTCTTTTTACTGCTTAAACCGCCTACGCCACCGGGACCGGCACCGCCCAGCAACGCGCTAGGATCCCCACCGTGTCCGAGCAGGCCATTAGGTGCGCCCACAACACTTCCGGCACCGGCCATGCCGCTACCGATGGCAGCTGCTGCCGCCGCCGCCGCCGCAGCGCCATTAAGGAATGCCTCATGTGTGGCGCCGGCATGCGGATGATGAGCGTGCGGATGATGCGCATGGGGATGGTGGTGTGCATGGTGCGGATGATGGCCATGATGGGCGTGCGTGTGTGCATGATGCGCATGATGGTGGCCATGTTGATGATGTGAGTGTGCATGATGTGCTGCAGCAGCTGCGGCAGCATGATGCGCCAAAGCGGCAGCCGCATGTTCAGCGGGTGAAAGCGTAGGCCGTGTTGCTGGTGAAGTGTTATTGTTGTTGCCGCCGTTGTTATTCGTAGCGCCAATATTGTTGGAGGATGTGGCACTGCCGCTGCTCGTTAGGCTGCTGCCATTCGTTGTGGACATATGTGAGATGCTGCTGCCGTTAGAACCGTTGCTTGAGTGCGCTTTATTGGGCGAGTGTGCTTCATCGTTGTTGTTGTTATTATTATTGTTTAGGCTATTTGTGTAGTCTTGGGCACCACGTGCGGCTTGTTCTGCGTGGAAGAGAGAGCAATAAAAGACATGTTGTATTAAATTTGTGATTGAAAATGAATAAATGATGATGAGGAGTTCGTTGAGGAGTTGATAGGTTGAGAGAGAGTGGTGGAAACTATTTGGTCATAAAGTTGTTATGTTATTTTTATAACTTGAACAGAGTATAATAAACGTCCTAAAGGAAACGTCGGAGATCCTATAAACTATATAATATATATAGAGATGAGCAGCGTGACGAGTTGAGTCGATTTAGCCACGTCCGTCTGTCTGTCTATATATATGCGAACTAGCCTTCAGTTTTTCAGAAATCTATCTGAAATTTACATACGTCATTTTCTTTCTCAAGAAGCCGCGCATTTGTCAGAAACGTCGATATCCGACCACTATAGCATATATCTACCATACACACTGATCGACCTAAATCAAGTTCTTGTGTAGAAAACTTTTTTATTTGCCAAAATATCTTCACGAAATTATTTTTCAAAACAATGCTACAACCTACGATGGTTCAGATTGAACCACTATAGCATAGAGCTGCCATGCAAACTGACCGATCAAAAGTAATATAAAAATTTTCTGTTTCCTTATTAAGTAACTTAACGGTTGTTTACATCAAACAACGTGGCTAAGTTAGTTTTTTTTTGTTAATAATGATATTTATATAATATAATATACATATTTACAGTTAGTACCAATTTCACTAAAGTTAGCTCAGCATCAATACTCCTCTCATTACACTAAGTATTTAAACCAATTATTTTATACACACACACCTTACAAACCTTTTTAACGGCACTTAAATGTCAATTTTGACATATCTCGCGTATCGTAACCCTTTCCCTACACTAATCGCCGCACAATTGTCAAATCACTTTCTCCTTTTCCACCACACACTCGTAGGGATTCCAGTTCATTTGCCCACAAAGGTGTTTGCAGGAAAAATATAACGCACACAAATCGCCCACTTCAAACGAAATTCAACACACATAATCCCGCAATAATGCCAACACAATAAAAATAAACCGACAAACATACATAGCAGGGCCTATATCGAATTTCACATGCCATAATTGGCATTAAATACCGTCGCAAACACATACAACACACGCCTATTGTGGGCAAAAAGGTAAAATTATAATTTACTTAAACTATTTCCTTATGCGATTTCAAATAATACCAGCACGTTCGCACAATTTTCGGCATTTCCAACACAAGAGAACTCTGAAAGAACGTGAAAGTTGAGCCTCATTTCCCGCAGCAGGCAGACAAATAAGCGATTTTTTGCAATGCTAAGTTTTTCTACTGAGTTTTTCACAAAAATTAAAGCAGACAAATTTATTTTATCTGCAACACCTTTTTGCCGGCTGACTGTCACAATAGAATGCGCCCATAATTCTTAAGTCTTGTGTGTTTATTGTGTGTTGTTGCTTGAAATTTATTTACCGTATAACACAAAGTGTTCGTGTGCAGCCAAATTCATGTGTGTATGTGTTTCGTGTGTTGCTAATGTGATTGTGTGCGACTTAAGATGTCAACAATGTGCCATTTTGGCGAAATTTGCGTTGAGTTTGCATACATTATGTACTGTCGGAGGCAACCCTGTAGGAAATATGTATGTGCAACTCGATTGCCATTTTGTGGAAATGACATTTATTTGAGTTCTGTCCCGTGATGTCTTGCGGCAAAAGAAGGGTTCTGCAATTTATTATGCCCCTTCCGAAATGCTGTTGATCTTTATGACAAGTCTTCATGACAATATTACATTCAGGGCGTTGCCGGTTTTGGCAAGAACAAGCTTTGAAAAACAACGCACTTTGATTTAAAGAAAGGAATGCTTGAACTTTTTTCCTGTCATTTGCATAGTTATATCCCTGTAATACTTGAGTCTCAAGACGCTAGATTCAGTACAATCATTTAACAGCATTTAAATGTAATAAAATAGGAGCGTATGGTATGAGTACCGGCTCACACCTTCAGGGTCATCGTTTTCGTCGAATTAGACCTCGAACTGCTACCCCATTCACCGTATTTTCCAGATCAGGTATTTTGCGAATTCTATTTATTTCCAAACTTGAAAAAGGCAAGGTCGAATCAGAAGCCTACTTTGCAGATATCCGTAGACGCAGCTTCCAGCCCGTTTAAATAAGTTGAATCATCGTTGAGTCGAAGTGTATCGAATTAAAAGTAGACCTTAAATCACCAGCTTTCCCAAAATTTTCGTGTTTCTTAACTAAATACTAATCGGACCGCTCTCTTCTTCATTAACAACACAACAACGTCGATCCTCTGGCTAAAAGTGTCTCTCAAAGGTCGCAGCAATTGATATGGCCTGCAAAGTCCAAATGCGCTTAACCAATTTTTGTAAGCTCAACCTATCAAAGTTTGGTTTCTGAACAAATTTCCTAGCAATATAGAGGTATTAACCAGTCAGAGATCCTACGTGAATGGCCTTTATAGTGCTATATTTATAACAAGTGACTATTCCTGCTAATTTCACAAGATTTTAGCCTTAGTCCGAAAGCTCAATCTATCAAAGTTTGATTTCCGAAAAAGTTTCCTAGCAATTTAATGGTATTAACCAGTCATAGATCCTACCCGAAAGCACTATATGGTATATTGATGATACTTAAAAGTGACCAATTTTATAAGCTTTTTATCATTGTTCAAAAGCTAAACATACTTCCACAAATCAGTCAGAGATCCTACTAGGAAGGCTTTTATTAATTTAATCAAGCTTGATTGAAAACCCCACATTTATAAGAAGTGACTATGGCAACTTATTTAAAAAATTATTTAGCCCATTTAACAAAATTTTATGAAAACCTACAATACAACTTCAACTTTCCTGTTGGGTCATTCGTAATCTGTCATGTGTGAGCAGTTCTTTCAAATAAAAAACGGCTCCAGCTACAAAAAAGAAGATTTGCAAATCGCATTTCCTCAAGCAGCCAACACAAAGGCGAGTCTACACGCATACAAGCAAAGCAACATTTGTACACACACACGAAAACATATGGCTATCTGTCAGTTTTGATTTCAAGGAAGTGGTGTGATTTGTCGCATGCGATAAGCCGGCGTACACCGCAAGCCAATTGCTGAGGAAGAGCCTACTAAAGTGGTAGAGTATCGAGTGTGAAAGTGTTGTCAGCGAATTTTTGCACGTTTGACAAATGTTTTTTCAAACGCCATTCAAGCAAGAGTAGTTTGACAAGCCGCGATTGTTTGTCAGATATTTTGAATGTCAAATGTTTCGTGGTATGTTTGCGTGCTGAAAGGTTAAGTTACCTTTTTCGCACATGCCTAGCAAACACAAAAAAATAAGACAAATTTTCGCGTAGCAGCTTACAACAGTTTTACAGTTTGTTGTTGTATTCCGTACACATGTATTTTTATTGTATTTACTTTGTGTTGTGACAATTAGGGTGTTAAGTGGTTCAGCCGCACACACATACACATATAAATTTGTATGTATTTTAACAATGATCGCATCAAATTATGCTGAAATGGATTAAAGGTGTCCTTTTTATTTATCACCTATTGTTAGGTGATAACACATCGAGGCACGGCAGACAATTGTGAAGTCTTTTTTTGCATTCTGCGCCTAATTTGATTTGTTGTTGCGATGTGTTTATCACTTTCTTTGTTGAATTTGAGTAGATTAAGGTTATTGTATTTCAATTTAAGCCAATCATGCTTGTTAAATAGAAAACTGTGTTGAATTCAAATGATAATATTTTAAATGATTTTTGTACTGACAACTCAGTCTTAACCCGATCGAGGACAGCTTCAGTAATTTTCCAAATATGGCTTACTCGGATCAGGCTTATGGACTTTTCGGATCAGGTTAGCCGGATGTAGTTCACTGTTTCGAGGACCACATATCGTTCTCAAAAACAAGAATCGAATCACTAACTGATATGGTTTTTCATTACTTCAAGTTTCCCGACCTCTCGGCAAGTTTACGCCCATTTTCGCTTGCGTTTACAACAAAACTACGGAAAAAGTCGAAATTTTGACTGTATGGTTGTAGTTAACAAGAACCCCAGAAAACGGTGATAATCAACTTTTCGTCCGACAGGATAGTTTTCGGAACAGGTTGGTCGGGTGAAGTCTTCTGCTTCGAGGTCGTGTGGACCCGCTCTTCGAAAAAAAAGATTTATCTAAGAGATATTGTTTTTTTTGCATTTTTTTCAAAATCCTCAAACAAGAACGGTTTCTCATGCGGTGAAGACAAAACAACATCCCATTGAAATTTTTACTCTACTCATCACTTTCGTGATTCACACATGGCGCTTCAAAAGAAAGAGTCTGAAATCACAGACCGATTTTTTTTTAATTTTTTTAAATTTTTTTAAACATTTTTTTTTAATTTTTTCAAAATTCTTGAGCACGCCGTGTAGGACGGCGAATCCTACGTGTCCAATTCCGCTGAAACTTTGATTTTTGTATGCTTTGAGAACCACAGAAAACGGCGCTCGTTATCTGTTTGACCGATAGGAGATTTTTTGGAGCAGGTAGTTGGATGAAGTCACTGTTCCAAGGACCACACATCATCCTTCGAAAACAAGAATCGACTGTTGTATTTTTGCTATTCAAAATCCTCATACGCTCCCGCTTCTTCATGCGTTCGAAACAAAGCTATGCGTCGGATTTTGTAGAAATTTTGACTTGATCTACGATCTGTTAGCATATTTTCCTGCTCTTTGAAAATCTGTTAATGTTTAACAAGATGTCTTTTCTTTTAAACTGCTGAATATTCTGGAAATATAACTACACTTCCAACGTTTCTGGGTACAGCTCTCGCCGGAATCTGTGTTTGAAAGGCATCAGTATAAGCACAGCAGCGAATGAATAAGTGTTTGGGAGTCCTTTGAAGATTAATTTAATTTTTAAAATAATAAAATCCAGGAAGTGAAAGTCAGGAAGCATTTTCTTTTGCATTATATTACGAAAAAAAAGAATAATAATTTGTAATGCAATTTAATAGTTTTCGCGCTTA